CATCCCTGCCCGAGTGTCTAGGCCTTAGCACCCATCACAGCCCGCCGGCGTCCACTTTGGGCAGCATGGGCGCACGCGGTCTCGAGGTCCTTGGGAAACCCGAACTGTGGAGCCCAGAGGCTGGCCTCGCTGGGTCTCGCCGGAGCGCCACACCAGTCGCTCTCCTAGGGCCTCTAGGCAGCGGGGCCCAGCCTTCACGCCCGCTCCTACTCGGGGGCCCGATTCCTTCCGGCGGCGGGCGGTGCGCTGCGGCGCTGCGGGATGCTGAGTGTGTGTGCGAGGCGCGGCCTATATTTACACCCCAAACAAAATAATTACACTTTTGTCGGAGGGAGAAAGCCAGTGATTAGGCGTAGGCTCTTTGCGGCAAAACAGTTTCTCAGTGGTACACCAGTATAATTTTTCACGGCTGGCTGAAATCAAAGAGGGGAGGTAATGAATCCGGCGAGCAATTTAAATTTACAATTTGTAACGCCGCCGCCGCCGCCGCGCAGACCCGGCCGAGAGCGCAGCTCGGAGGCGCTCGCTGCGTTTGTTTAATGTTAAAGCCGCGCTGGCTCTTGGAGGTGGGGTGGGGGGAGTATGCGTGTTGGGGATAGAAGCGGTAATGACCGAACTCGGGAGAGGACGGGCTGGGTCGCTCAAGATGCCACCAGGAGAAGTGGGCAAAGGGCGCGCCTCTCCCTTCCCCCCAGCCACTCGGGACCCCAGCGCTTCCCAAAAAAGCCGTTCGAAGAGAGGGGAGCCAGGAGCGAGACTGTCCTCCAGAGAAGCCCCCCTTTTCTGCTTGGCTGCAGAATCCCCTGGCCAGAGACTTCTTGTGAAGAATAGCGAGGTGCTACTGAAACGACCTCTTCAACCCACGGGAGGGTCAGCTCCAAACGTCCGGAAGAGCCCTCATTCTGGCCGCTGCCCAGTGTCCCGGGTTAAAGAAGTCGAGAGAGGTAACCCCCCATGCCCCAGCTCAGCGATCCTCAAAAGTTCCACCACCGGCTAGTGTGCGCCTCCTCGCCCGTAATTAATTACCGAACTCAAGGGGGAATATGCAAACCGCATATTACTAACTCTACAGGGCTTAAGTGATTGGAAACAGATTATTATCTTGTTTGTCTTTTGTCTGTTTTACTTATCCCGCCGCCGTCTGTCGAGTTGTAATGTTGATACTCTGTACTCTAGGAGGAAATTTTTTATATAGTAAATTCCATCAACATCTTGTATAAGTGACATTGCGTCTCCATGCATTACCCTGTTAAGACACAAGCGGTTTATTAGTTACATATAGGAAGGGATTTCGCTGCCTGGTCGCCATCTGTTAGCGCTTTTAGGGCGGGATTCGTCTAATAGCTGGTCTGCTGGCATTTTCCGATGCTGTGCACCGGGAAGGAGGTGGGCTAGAGAAGGCCGGGCGGGTTCTGGGCAGCTTGGCTGGGCCCAGGTCCAGGGAGCTCTAGAATTGAGGCCAAGCTGTGAGGCCCCCAAGACAACTCTGGGGGCCTGCAGCAAGGGAAGGTAAGTTCCCCTACAAGAAATGGAAGGTCCGACCAAGGCTTCTCGAAGCAGAGTCCTCATCTCCTGCAACCAAATATTCAGCCCCAGGTAACTCACGCTCATCCCTACTCAGGGTTGCTCTCATCTTATTTCCTCTTCCTTCGACCTCCCTGGCCAGCTACATGGTGGCTGGGGCCTGGCTGTGCACTGAAGCTCTCTTGGAGAGGCGGACAAGTGAATCTGTCCAAGAGTCTGATACAGCTGGGTACGCAGGGTCCCAGCCACCACCATCAGGTGGGCAAAGCCAGGACTGGGAACACACACCAGACAGGGCACTTTGGATATTTTGTGCGGTTTGGGAAAGAATGGGCTCAGTGTGCCTAGCCTGGAGCAGAGAAGAAAGCTATCAGATGGAGGTTTTTAATGATCATGGAGCACGTGGCGGGGGTGCAAGCCTTTCCCCCCACACCCCAAAATCTGCACAATGGACAATAAGGAGCATTCATCTCAACACTGAGTCGGATGCTGGATTTGGAAGCTCCAGCAGAGAGGCCAGGAGAGGGGAACAAAAAGAGAGAGAAATGGAGAAAGAAAGTGAGGGAGAACCAAGAGAAAATGAAACAGAACAGTTTCTGAGCATAACAGAAAAACGGAGACAGAAAGGAAAACAGAGATGTGGCAAGAACTCAAGAGAGACAGAAAAAGCCAGTGAGACAAAGACAGAGAAGGCAGCGCGATTTGCCTCTGCCGGGAGCCTGAGCACCTCTCTTCTCTCCAGGTTCTTATTTCTTTCCATCTCTGCCCTGCCAGAGCTCAAGGATCCTTTATGCCCCAGGCGGGCAGGGCCAACTGCTGCCAGAAACTGCAGTTTCATCTGGAGTCTCTCATGGCTGAGCCTAGGAGGCCAAGTGAGATTCATCCTGCCTGTTCCTGGTTGAGCTGGGGTCTAACCAGCCTTATTACAATGCTCTGTAGACGCCTGTCCCCTGAAAAGCTAGTGGGTCAGGTAACAGCACCAACAAGCAGAAGTTGCCTGGGTTAGGGATTCCTTTTCCAGTGGACTGGCTAGTGAGTCAATGCTTCACTGTCACCAGCACCCATCAATTCCCTGTCCCAAGCGATACCACCTCCTTTAGAGACTGTGGGGAACAGTGTGGGGGACAGGTCTGAAGAGGAATGGGAACAAGTGGGCATCCCTGAGCCCCAACACAGGTACCCACAAATCCTGTTCCCTCAAGCTCTGAATCGACAAAGGTAAGTGCTGCTAGGAGTACACACACAAACACAAATACAAACATAACCCCACACACACACACACACACACAAAGCCTACAGGAGTCACATAAACAAAAAAACTACTGTTTACAAAAATACACACGCATGCAGGCACACACACAGACTGGCACACAAACATTGATCTTCAAAATTCTGCACTCACAAACACACCCAACCCAGGTCAGTCTCATACACACAGGGTCTCAAGCATGCACGCCCTCACCTACACACAAACACACACATTCAGATTTTTAAAAATACACTTTTACATCAATGCTTGCAACCATAGGCACAAATACTCTTATGTGAATGCATGCATACACATGAAAACACCCTCACATTCATGCGTCCTCAAATAAGCATACAGACATAGGCACAGACCAACGAAAATAAAAGGTGATAAACACAAACATTAGCTGAACCATACACAATTATAAACACATATCTGCACACACACAAATGCACACGCAGAAATGTACTCACAGGACTGATACTAACACAATAGAAGCAAAAAATGGAATTCTCAAACAGCGAGTATACACTAACAAGCTCAGGAAATACGCCCAAACAAACGTTCACAGCCAAGCGTCAGCACAAAACCCTCTAGCTTCAGCCCTTGGGCCCAGGCCCTACTCCCTCGGCCACCTTTCCAGAAGCGAAACGAAAATCCTGGTTGTGCATTCCCGGCCTCCCCAACTTGGCCACGCTGGCCCCGAGGGAAAGGAGGCCTGGTCCCTTCGCCCCCTCAGACCCACACACCCCCGCCTCACACACACCTGCCAGCAGCCCCTCCACCCCACCCCCACTTTCTCTCTCTCTCTCTCTCTCTCTCTCTCTCTCTCTCTCTCTCTCTCTCTCTTCACACTGGGCTCCCTGCCGAGCGCAGAACACACGTGCGAAGCTTCTCCAGCCCCCAAAGAGGGGACGAACTTGCACACCCAGCCCGCACGGCGTGAGTGCAAACAGTGTTCATACAGTCGCTGGTGTCCCCGCCTCAGCGGTGCAACCCACTCATCACAGTGCCCAGACAGGCTGACCTGGAATCTGGAAGGCGCAGCGAGGAAAGGAGAGACTTGGTGAGTGCCACCTCCGAGCTGTCTCCGGGAACACCCGTCCACCCTGAATCTCCCACTGTCCACATCTCCCTCAGAGCCCGGTGAGCAGCGCACTCAGGCCTGAAACTCTGGAGTTCGAGACCAGGCCAAACGGCACCCCTCCTCCTCCCCCACCTCCCCAATCTGGGCCTTGGACTGGGCCGGGGCTCGGCGGCCAGGCGGAAAAAACTACCCAAGCTGCGCAGCCTCCACTAGCTAGCTCTCTCCATGAGAAAGGTCCGGCTGGGCCCCAGCCCCGTGTATGACAAAAAGAAGCCAGGGCCAGCTCCGCGAGCCCGGGGGACCGAGCTGACGCAGCTTCAGGGCGCGGACCGGGCGCGGGGAGGAGGAATCCAATCTGGGCTGGCTGGACTGGAGAAGGGGAGGCAGGTGTGGGGCGTGGGGCAATTTCTGCAAGTTCCGGGTATGGCGAAGGGGGCAGGGGTACCTCCCGGACTAGGCCTCGGAACCCCTGACCCCCAAATATTTTGTGAGGAGAGAGGAAGAGAGAAGCAGTTTTTGCATCGCGCGGCCCCCTCCCCCTCAGCCCCAAACTGGAAGGTAAATACTTACTTAGCCTCCGAACCAGGTACAAGCTAATACTCAACAATACTGATGCCTTGTTTTTTTTGCTCTGTCCGGACCGCAACGCTGTAGCCAATTTAGATATGCTATAAATTTAAGAGGTTGCCATGGCCACGGTGCGCCCATTGGCCGATGTGCCCCCTACGTGCCGCGCCACGTCACCAAATCTGAATAAGGATGCGCGAATTACGCGGCGACCAGACAAAGATGAGGATCGGGACCGCTTGAAAGTGGGGGAAAGTGCCGGCGCCTCCGCCACCGGGGAAAGCCGCTCCGCAGCGCTGAGGCCAGCAGCCACCCGAGATAGCTGGGGAAGCCCGGAACAGGCGCCGGGGCGTGCGGCCGGTGGCATGAGGTTGTGAACGCCACCACCCCCTACCTCACTCCGGGCCGCCCAGTGCCAGGCCAGCGATTGCCCAAGGACTTGACCGGCTGAGTCTTGGTCCGGACCAGACTCGCCCTGTAGCTGCTGAGACAAGAGGCGGAGGGCAGCGGAGGGCCCGGCAGGCCTGAGGGCCAGGGGCCCAAAGGGAGGGCAAGGCGGCCAGAGCCGCCGGGACGCGGGGCTATGATGGTGCACTGTGCGGGTTGCGAGCGGCCCATCCTCGACCGCTTTCTGCTGAACGTGCTGGACCGCGCGTGGCATATTAAATGTGTTCAGTGCTGCGAGTGCAAAACCAACCTCTCGGAGAAGTGCTTCTCGCGCGAGGGCAAGCTCTACTGCAAAAATGACTTCTTCAGGTAAGAGGCCGCGCCGCTGCTGCCTGCCCACTCTGGGCGTACTCCACTGGGGCGCCGAGGAAGGGGAGACCCCCACACCCATCCCAGCCTCCCTTCATAACAAGCTTAGATGGGGAGCGGGCAGCACTTTGCTCTCCTCCTGTCCTCAGTCCAGGAAAGGTCCCGAGCCCAGGTGGAGGAAGAAGGACGCGCTGCTTTGCTGCTTCACGTTCTCTGGAGGCCGGCTCAGAGCGCTGGCGGGGCAGAGGGAGGAAGCCCTGACAAACTTGCTCTCCACCCCTCTCTGCCCCTTCCCAGAGACTGCAACCCCAAGGCAGATGCTTCAAGCCAGGTCCCGACTGAGGGGAAGGATTTTTGCCTGAGTTAGAGACGCCTGGAAGCTTTTCGCTCCAGGCAGAAGGTGTGAGCCCAGCGGCCAGTCGCAATCCCAAACGGAAACTTCTCAGCTCCAGAGGGGGCCCAGTGAGGAAGGTCTCCCTGGTGATGGGAGGAGAGTACCTCCCCCTACTCACCTCCCAACCCCTTAAACATTTCCTCCCGTGTTGAAAAGCAGAAACGAAATCGAGGCTGACAATCAGGACCTCTGGGGTCTAGACTGGGCTGTGGCGCCTCCTCCACCCCACCCGTGTGAGCCCACTGGCTAGCCAGGGCAGATCAACTCTCTGGGCCTCAGTTTCCCCAGTCTGGAAGCCAGTGGGATTTAGGGCAGCTGAGTCCTGCCTGTTTCCCCTGGGCACCCAGAGCCAGCTTTGTGAACAGGACTTCCCCGCGCTGAGGAAGGGGGGCGTGAATCACGCCGTAGAGAAAGGCAGCCTGCCGGCCCTGGCGACTCTGCACTGGGAATTTGAATAGGAGAAAATGTCAGCCGCTCCTTTACACGTGTAAACTCCCTGGCCCCGGAGGCCCGGTGCCCCTAATGTAGCAGTTCTTGCAAAGCGCCTAATGATTTTTGATAAGGTGCATATGGCCAATTACGCTGCCGGATAAGGCCAAAAGTGACTTATGGCTTCTAATGCCCTCACTACATCAATGTCACCCAAATTCGCCCTGTTTAGAGGTATGGGTGTGAGTAGATGTGGGGTCCCCAGAGTCCTTAGTCCTCCCCCACGCCACCCTCAACCTGAGCCTCACCCATCTCCCATTTCGGGGGAGGCTAGCTTTCTCCCTGAGCTCAAAGAAGAAAGAAAAGGAATGAGATCAAGAACGTGGGAAGGAGGGATTTGAGAGATTCCCGTCCTGGCCGAGCAGGGTCTACAATTGTCTTCTATTCACATTCTCCTGGTGCCTGCCAGGCCAGAGGTTTAGTGGAGCTGAAACTCAGTCCCTGCTCTCTAGGATCTGCCACTATGAGGCCCTGCTGTCCACAGCTCCTGATTAGCTCCAGCGGGTCCCAGAGTGGTGAATTGGAAAGCCTCTCCACTGGTACTGGAAATCAGTGGAAGATTCCCTCCTTTCTGCTTCCTCCTTCCAGCCTGGGAGAAGGGAACCCCACCCCATGGCTAGGCTGAGCCAGGCAGGCAGATTGGCCCTACCTAGGCACCAGCAAACCAGAAAGGATGCAGGAGGCAAAACCACCAAGTGACCCAAACCCTGCCCGCCTGGTTTCAAATCATTCATGGGCTCAGAGTTTGCCTGAAGCAACCGAGGCAGGCCTGGCAGGGGTTGGGTTTGGGGAAGGATATCTTGAGATGCTCTGGGCCCTCTGCTTGGCTGAAGGCTACACCCGCTGCTCCCCACTTCCCAGCCCAGGAGAATCTGAAAAAACCCCAGTGGAGGCATGGGAGTCCCAGGCCCCAAAAACAGCTCAGGACATTTGTCCCACTTCTCCTGCTCTGGCCAGAGAGCTCAGGATTGGGGTTCCGTTTAACAGATGTGGAAATGGGGACTTCACAGAAGTCGCGGGGAGGGGGAAGAGGTCGGGGGCTGGGGACGGTTGGATTGGGTCCCACCCCGCAGTGACGGGCACCTTGTGTCCACAGGCGCTTTGGCACCAAATGCGCCGGCTGCGCACAAGGCATCTCGCCCAGCGACCTGGTGCGCAAGGCCCGGAGCAAAGTCTTTCACCTCAACTGTTTCACCTGCATGGTGTGTAACAAGCAGCTGTCCACTGGCGAGGAGCTGTACGTCATCGACGAGAACAAGTTCGTGTGCAAAGATGACTACCTGAGCTCATCCAGCCTCAAGGAGGGCAGCCTCAACTCAGGTAGGAAGGCCTCCGCCCCTCACTAGCCTTAGGCCTTAACACCCTCCCTCCGTGCCCAGCCTGGCACTCCCTGCTTGGCCCCCTGTGTGCTGTCTGTGCTGGGCTTAGAGCTCATCACCCCTAGGCAGCTCTAGGGCAAGGCCAGGGGGTGAGAGGCTAGAGAAGAGGCTTTGGAGCGGGTTTTACAGGGGAGCTGAGGGCCACCAGCTCTTCCCCCTACTCCTCCAATTCAGGAGCCTTTTCCAAGTTTCCCTCCTCCCCTAATTTAGCACCACACAATTCACCCTCATGTGTCATCTGAGCTCCAGGTAATTTCTAGAGGCACTGGGAGGACATTAATTGAGGTCTGGAGGAAGGAGGGAAGGGAGAGGAAGATCCAAGGGAATCTGCCCAAGGGAATCTGTGTTCAGTGCTGCGAACACAGGGAATCTGTGCCCTCCTCATCCCCTCTCCCTGAAGGCGGGAGTTCTCCAGAGGGCATGCCTACCCCCACCCTTACTCAGGTACTAGCTGAGACGCGCTGAGAGGGCCAACGAAGCGCCCGTTTCAAAGTCCGGGCCCCGCCTGGAGAGAGTGGGCGGGCACCGGGTCCCTGGGGGAGGGGCTGTCGCAGGTTTGGGAGGAAACCCCGCGGGGCCGGCCGTAGCTTGGGCCGGCAGGAACCCGCCACTGGATTGAAGAGGCGTCTGGCGGTCGCTGACGCCGTTGTACCCTTCCCGATCCGTCCGCCCGCAGTGTCATCCTGTACGGACCGCAGTTTGTCCCCGGACCTCCAGGACGCACTGCAGGACGACCCCAAGGAGACGGACAACTCGACCTCGTCGGACAAGGAAACGGCCAACAACGAGAACGAGGAGCAGAACTCGGGCACCAAGCGGCGCGGCCCCCGCACCACCATCAAGGCCAAGCAGCTGGAGACGCTCAAGGCTGCCTTCGCCGCCACGCCCAAGCCCACGCGCCACATCCGCGAGCAGCTGGCGCAGGAGACCGGCCTCAACATGCGCGTCATCCAGGTGCGGCCCGGGGCCCGCTGGCCCGGGAGCCGGGAGCCTCGGAGGAGTCTCCCACCAAGCTTCCTTGGCGCCGGGTTCTTGTCTGGGAGCAGACCTTGCGCCGGAGGCCGGGGAGCTCCGGGCACTCGCCAGAGGTCGGGAACTGTGAGCGGAAAAGATTCCATCTAGCCCAGCTGTCCTGGCTGTGCGATTTAGAGCGGATCACTTTACCTCCCTGAATTTCACGGCCGCCCTGACCCCCCGCCCCTTCCCCTTGCTCAAGGAAGGTTGTAAGACACTCTGGGATCCAGGATGCCTCTTTACCTCCCAACTTTTGAGCAGAGAAAGAGGCGATGCCCCCTCCCTCCCTGCGCCGAAGCGCGGGCAGATAAACCGCCCGAGGCCGGCTCCGGAGCCGAGCGGCCGAGGCAAGAGCCGTGCAGGGAGGGAGACCTTTATAGAGCCGTCAGGCCGCGGGCGAGCCGAGGGCCAGGAAGCCCAAGTCTTTATGAGTCGCCCCACGGGTCCGCGAAATCCTTCACCCTTGGCTGGCTCTCCACCCCTCCCGGCCTAATCCAGCCCGGCCCCGCCTCGGGGGAGTCTTGGTGCGGAAGAGGCGCAAGGACCCAAAGCGGGCAGCCCAGGCAAGGGATGGAGGAGAGGGGAGGGGAGGACGCTCCGGACCCGGAGCTCACAGCCCCCTCCTCTGTCCCAGGTGTGGTTTCAGAATCGACGGTCCAAAGAACGCCGGATGAAACAGCTGAGCGCCCTGGGCGCCCGGAGACACGCCTTCTTCCGGAGTCCGCGGCGCATGCGTCCGCTGGGCGGCCGCTTGGACGAGTCTGAGATGTTGGGGTCCACCCCGTACACCTACTACGGAGGTAAGGGGCGCTCCGGGATGCGCTGCTCTGCACCTGCCCCGTTCTGGGTGCTGAGGGCTCAGGGCCCCAGCCAACGCGCTTTCCGCCGCTCCGGGAAATCGCCCACTCGCTGGACCCAATCACAGACACACGTACACTCACCCATACGTTCTGGACACAAAATCAGATACATGGACTCACTCACCCATTCAGTGATGACACGGAAGCACACACGAGATAGTGACACACACCCTCATCCACGCAGGGCACAAGGCACACTCACACTTGCGTTCAGAGACTCCAGGGACACACGTCTAGACACGATCGCATGATCACGTACAGGTACATTCCACCCTTCCACACACAGGTACACTCACAGAGACACAAATCCACAGGCGCACACACTTCTAGCAGTCACACTGAGGCCAGCACTGGCAAATCCACATGCGTGCCACCCCCACGGACAGACACACGAACTTCCTGCAGCCCTGGCCCCTGTACCTAGTGTACTTGGCATGAGGAGGATTCTGAGAGCCGGAGGGTAGCTTGAAGGGAGGGGATGGGGGTCTGGATTCATCCCAGGCCGCCTGCTCACTAGCTTCGAAAGCAGCAATTCCTGTTCCCTGTGGCGGGGTGTGTGCCTACAGGATCTGCCAGTGTTAGCCCAAATGCCCGCAGTTACTCTGGGCAGGACTCTAGCCCACCCTCCAGCCCCAAACCCCGTGGGGTTCCTCCAGACTAGGGGCACCAGGTTTGGGCCAACCCCAGATGTCCGCCGTCTTTGGGGCTGCATAGATCTAGGTGCCCCAGTTCACAAAGGGGTTTGGATGGTGGTACAAAGCTTGGGCCTGGGGTGAGCCGCCCCCTTGTCACCGAGATTTTCCTTCTATCGCTTCCCTCACACTGGATTGGTGAACCATCAACTCCTCCACTCCGTTTTTTGAGCTCCTTGCCTTGAGCCGCGTTGCTTGAGCTCGCCGAGCTCACCGTCCTGTTCTTCCCAGAGCTGAGGACTCAGGAAAGCACCTCCCCTCTTCTGTTCTGAAGCTTCTGAATTTGGGGAGACCCCAGGACTGCCTGTGTCTGAGAGGCATCTGCACTTCTGCGTCACCCCTTGCCATGGGCCTATTTAGGGCCAGTAGCACAGGTTGGGGAGAGGCAATTTTTCTTAGAAAGTGGGTTCAGTGGCAGTGTTGGGGAGGCAGGGGCTAGGCACCAGGGTAGACCCAGAGGGAAAGGAAGATAACCCCATCACTGACCTCAGCACATCCGGAAGCCTGATAGGGGATTAGACCTTGAGACCCAACCGCGGCCCCTAGGAATTGTGGGCAAAATGCCAGGCTGTGCTTTTTTTCGGGGCAGAGACCCCACGCAGTGGCAGGGCTCAGACCAGAGCACTACAGCCGCCCAACCCTGGACAGCCCCCAACCCTGGAAAGACCCCCACCCCTGGACAGCCCCCAACCCTGGACAGTCTGGATGGTGGGCGTGTCCTCCGGGGTCTCCAGTCACCGACTCTCTCCACCTAAATTTGCCTCTTTCCCTACGAAATCTGGGCTCGGAGCAGCGAGGTGGTGGGGGCAGTACCAGCCCGGAATTTTTCCCCGCCTGGGTAATTAACCAAGGTTTCCCGGAGGACGAGTTCGCCCCCTCCCCGACCTATCCCACCGCCTCCTCTCCCTGCGCGCTAAATGGGGTGGGGAGCCGGACATGGGGGCCTCCCATTCCCCGGAATGGTGGGAAGGCCTCCCCAGCCCCCAGCGAGGCAGCCCCGCCTAATCCGCGCTGGGAGATCCCGGCGTTGGCGACCGGCAGCGGGCGAGAAAAGGGGCCGGGCGGCGGGGCCGGCGGCTCCCCGTGGGAGCGCGGACAAAGCCCCAGCTGCGGCTTTTGTGCCCTTTTCAGACGGCGTTTGTTCCAATTACCTCCGGCCCGGCAGCCATATGGGCGGAGGCGGCGCGCACGGCGCCGGGGCCGCGGCCTCCGCTGGTTTGCCGGCTCGCTGCGGGCCGCGGCGGTCTCCCATCCCAGTCCCTTTGGGGCTCCAGATTCTCAGTTCCCCATCTTTCCCCGAAAGGAAAGACTTTCGGGGAGAATTAAATTAATGGTTTTAAAAAGTAATTGGCAACCGTTTTAGCTATTGCCTAGACTGCCTCCAAGCCACGCCTCCAGACAACCCCCACACCCCAATTTGGACAGATTTCAGGTTTTGGAGAGGGAAGATGGTGGCGGGGGCACCAGGAACTCGCCCCTTGACTGAGCTCCCAGGACTCAGCAGGGAGAGTGGATTTGCCGAGGAGACTCTGGCTTCTGGACACGCTGGTTTTCCCGCTGTACAAAGCGGGTGCCAGGTACAAGATGGTCCTTTCGTGAGGTCCCCCACCCTAGTCCTTTCAGGGCCCCACCTGGTGGGGGGAGACAGGATATCCCGAAGGTTCTGGAAGAGGAGCTATGTGAGGAGGTCAGCGGGTTGATGCAGATTTGTTGAGGCATAATGGGTTTGTAATCCCGAGTCCCTGCACCTCCTGAATTTGTGGGCAAAATTCACATCCTTGCATTTTCCTCGAGAGAGCCCATAGCTATCACCAGCTTCCCAAAAGGTCTCAATGTCCTCAGATGCTTCAGAACCTGGGGGTCCTGGCAAAACCAGCCCGGGGCGATGCTGGAGGACCGAACTTCTACCCCAAGGCGCCCGCGGAGCTCTGGGCATGACCCAGAGCATTTTCTTGTCCTCCCCCTCTCTCAAGTCGCTGGAGCTCAGCTTTCTCTGTCCCAGGCCAGGCGAGGCCGGCACAAACGGTCTCACCCGGATCAACACGGGGGCCTTCCTTGGCGAGGCGAAGTACTTGCACCGGGTTGGCGGGGCTCAAGGGCCGAGTTCCTGGCGCCGAGGTCCACTCCACCAGCCCCTCTACGCTCCGGCCGCGGCCCGAATCGAGCTTCCCCTGGCCCAGTCTCTTCCCGGTCTCGACCATTTCACGCTCTGCTCTGTCCGATGTTCGGTCCCTGCCCGGTTCCTCTCCCGGGCCTCTCAGCCTCAGCTTCTCTGGAGGTTTCTGGGACTCATCCTTGATCCACCGTCTTGCGTTATCAGGGCTCATTGACCTCTCTCCATCTTCAGGCTCACTCCTCACTCCCTCGCCGTCCGCCCCCCGGGGTTTCCACGCGTGTCTCTAACCACGGTCGTCTCACCGCTCCCGGCATCTCCTCGACTCCTCCGCGACCTCCGATCTCTCGGGCTCTCAGGTCTCAGCCGCGGACTGCGTCTCTGGGTCTCTTTTCCGCCTTTCCCTCTGCCCCTGTGCCGATCTCTCCGTCTGTCTCTCGCTGTCCCGCGTCTCTGTGTCTCTCACCGACTCTAAGACTCTCAGGAATCGTTCTCTGTCTCTGCGTCTCTGGCCGCCGCTGTCTCGCTCCACCTCTAGGTGTCAGGGAACCTGTGACTTTGAAATCTCCGAGTATTAGCCGCTTGTGTCCCCCACGGTCTCGGAGTCTCTCCCGTCTCTGCCCTTTCGAGAGCTCTCATTGTCTCTCTCCCCAACCTTACCCGTGGGTCTGCAACGTCCACCATCTCGAGGGACTCTGGCCTCCGCGGGTCTCTCTAACCTCGGGTTGGTGTCGCGCGCTCCCCTCTCTCGCCTGCCCGGGCCTCTGGACTTGGTCTCCCCGTTCCCTCCCCGGATCCCAGGTCCCCCGCCTCCTTCGCCTTCTCTCACTGCCCCCTCTCTCCTTCCCTCTCCCCGCCGCAGACTACCAAGGCGACTACTACGCCCCGGGAAGCAACTACGACTTCTTCGCGCACGGCCCGCCGTCGCAGGCGCAGTCCCCGGCCGACTCCAGCTTTCTGGCGGCCTCGGGGCCCGGTTCGACGCCACTGGGCGCGCTGGAGCCGCCGCTCGCTGGCCCGCACGCCGCGGACAACCCCAGGTTCACCGACATGATCTCACACCCGGACACGCCGAGCCCCGAGCCGGGCCTGCCGGGCGCGTTGCACCCCATGCCAGGCGAGGTGTTCAGCGGCGGGCCCAGCCCGCCCTTCCCCATGAGCGGCACCAGTGGCTACAGCGGACCCCTGTCGCATCCCAACCCCGAGCTCAACGAGGCCGCCGTGTGGTAAGGCCGCCGGGCCACCCCCGGCGCTCGGCCCCCGGGGGCTCCCGCCCCGACACAGCCTCCTGAAACCAAAAGGCCCGAAGCGGACGCAGTGGGAGACGTGGTGTCCCTGGGGGTTCTCTCTCGGGTCCGCACTCCACCGGCAGCTGCTCCTCGGCTGGGCGCCGAGGGCGGAGCCGACTCTCATCTCCACCCTGCGGGCTCTCCAGGAGCCCCAGCCCACCGCCAGCGCTCTCCTGGCCACGCGAGCAATTTCTTGGGACCAAAGTCAATACTCCAGAGGGTCAAGAGATTTCAAGCACGCTCTAGACTTTCCCCGGGCCCCCACCCACGCACCCACCCACCGCCACCTCTTCGAACTGAGAGAGGGTGAGGCCAAGGGGCGGAGGCCGTGTTTTCCCCTCTCTGCAATCCGAGTGGCATTTTGTAATCTTATTTCTCGCTGTGCTTTCCCCGTCTTTAAAAAAAATAAAAATATAAAAGGAGGAGAGATTGAAAGAGAGAAAGGAAGCGGGGGCAGGATGAGGAAGAGAGAGATGGAGAGAGCGTCAGCCAGAGGGAGAAGACGGAGAGCGAGCGAGGAACTCTCGTGAACCGGGAGCCACCTGGAGGGAGACCGAGCCACCTGCACGCTGGCGCTCCCTGGTGGCCAATCTTGAGGTTCAAGGTCAGCTTCTCTAGGAAGGGGGCTGTGGGTCCGGACGTGGCCAGCTGGGGCCAGCTCCTGCTCTTCCTTACTTTGCCGTTTATGCTGAGCCCGAGGGTGCAGGCCGGACTCGAACACGCGCACATCCTGCTCTCCCCCTGGGTGAGGCGCCAAGGTTGCTGGGCTCAGACCCACAGATCACCCTCCCTGCCCGGGGCCTGGAGGCTGGGCCGTCAGGATGTACAATATTATACTTTTTTGGAAGTTGAACGCTTCTAGTTTCCTTATTTTGTATAAAGAAGAAACAAATAAAGTATGTTTTTGTGTTTACTGTTTATTTATTGTACTCTAATTATCCGGGGCTGGACATTTTTATATTTTTAAGAGGAGGTAGGACAGAGTGAGGGAGGGGAGGCAGAGAGGTTTACCTAAAAAAAAAAACAAAAAAACAAAAACAAAAAAAAACTTTTTTAAAAAAGAAAGATTAATAAAAAAATTCTTTTTTTTCCCTCAGTGCTGTGTGGCTTTCTTTTTATTGTCCCTAGTTTGATAATGACTCAGAGTGAATGAAACCTTTTCTTTCCCTGGTTCTTGTCTCTGACGTTAAGCTTCTGATGGATGCAAAAACCTCTGCTCACCCAAAGGGGGAGCTCTTCTAGTGACTCCCAAGTTCATGAAAGTGGCTGTCCTCCGTTGAAAGCTACTATGGGCCAGGCCCTGTATCTCTCCATGCTTTACGTAATACCCTGCTCTAATACAGGCCTGCCCAGCACATAGAAGATCTTCAGAATGTCTGACAAATGAATGAATGTGTGATTTGTTTGTTGCCAGCACATCAAAAGAATTACAGCTTCACTCCTAACTATCCCCCCCCCCCCCCCACTTCCCCGCCCCATGTAATTCCTGGTGGCCAAAAACAAAAAGAGCAGGCTGGTAAGCTGATGCTGGTTATCTGCAAGGCTATGTTAGGATTGAAGAGCCCCTCCCCAAAGTGGGGCTGTTGTGCTCTGCAAGTCTTATGCAGTACATGCTTATCTTTGGGTAAAGGCATGAAGGAAAGAGAGCCAAGTCAGATTTAGGAGGCCTGAGGCCACCACCTAAAACAACACTCTCTTTTTTTGCCTCAGTTTCCCTACTTGCAAAAGCAGGGGTTGGAGAGGGTGCTTCCTACATCTCCTTCTAACTCAATCATCTGTAATCCCAGCACTTTGGGAAGCCAAGGCAGGTGGGTCACCTGAGGCCAGGAGTTTGAGACCAGCCTGGCCAACATGGTGAAACCCTGTCTCTACTAAAAATACAAAAATTAGCCAGATGTGATGACAGGCGCCTGTAATCCCAGCTACTTGGGAGGCTGAGACAGGAGAATCACCTGAACCTGGTAGACAGAGGTTGCAGTAAGCCAGTATTGCATCACTGCACTCTAGCTTGAGTGACAGAGCAAGACTCAGTCTCAAAAGAAAAAGAAGAAAAGAAAAGCAGGAGAGGAGAGGGAGGTAAAAATAAATGGAAGAGTGTCCTGCATTGGGATGACTCTTCACCCAAGCTTGGGCCAGGGGGAAGCTGGCCCATTGTAGCTGCAGCAGGGGAAGATGGGGGAATGAACTACCATGGGACAGGCACGTGCTCAGAGCCCCACACTTCCGTCCTTCTTCTTCATGTGCTCCTCACAAGAACCATGCAAGGTGACTTGCCTTTTTCTTTTCTCTCTTTATCACACATTTGTCTTTATCAGACCAATGCTACTTGCTCGAGGAAAATTTAGAAATCTCAGGTAAACAAAAGGAAGAAAATGTCATTACCGAGAATCTCGAGCACTGTGGAAAGGTAGTTGATGCATTTTCTTTCAGACTTCTTTTTTCTTTCTTTCTTTCTTTTTTCATTTTGAAACTAGAGATCGTACCCTGTACTCAACATGTGGTCATCTGCTCTGGTTCACTCAGCAATAGCTTCCAGATGTATAAACTGATCTTCGTAGACAGAGCTCTGTCATTCCATGTAATCACTGCTTAAAAGTTCCCTTGAATGGCTGAGCCATGCTTTTTTGGTTTTTGTTTTATTTTAAACCAATTCTATTTGTTGGATGTTTGGGTTCATTTCCAAGGTTTCACCACTGTAAGCCACATTGGAATATCCTTGCAGTTGAATCCTTGGAAGTTTATCAGGGTAGGTATGATTAGCCCCCTCAGGGTACTCAGAGAGGTTGAGGGACCGGCCCAAGGTCACATAGCTGGGAAATGGAAAAGCTGGGATTCAAATCCATGTATTGGGTTGTGTTTCTACTTCCCTATGGTGCCCTAATTGTGATAGATTTTAGAGGCCAAAAGAGAATCTGCAAGGTGGACCTCATCTCTGGCAGGTCCCTGAATGCTTTCTGGGCATGTATGAACTTTGCAGAAGGGCTCACTTAGAACTTGCACCAGAGTGAGATGGGAGAAGTGAAGCTGGGGGAGGAGAGGACTCATCCCCACCTCAAACAGGGTTGTGACAGGGAAATAGAGGTCACGGAGAGAAGGCAGGTGAAAAGGGGTGAAAGAGAGAAAGAGGAGGGGAGGGAGGCAGGAGAAAAGGAAGGAATAAGAGAGGAAGAGGAGGATAAGGGAGAAAAGTTAGGAAGAGGGAGTGGGAGATGAAAGCTATAGAAGAAAGAGCCCCCATAGCTGTGACAAGTCACCTCCTGCTCATGCTCCACAGTGTCTGGGGACCCCCAGCCCCTACCAGATAGGACACTTAGACCCAGAGGTATCCATCAGTGAAGGCAGCAGAGTGAGGCAACAGGATGAGAAGTCACAGTACAACCAAGCCCTCTGCCCCTTCCTCCAGCTACAGTCACACACCACCTTCCCGCGCACACACACACACACACACACACACACGCGCGTGCGCGAACCAGACAGACATGTATGGGCCCACACAGTGTGCACTTACACGTGCAAATATGTGTACACAAACATATATGGATCCATGCTCACAGCCACATGGATACACACACACACACCACCAGCCACATGGATATACAGCTGTGCATGCACACAGAGACACATACAAATACAGACAAGGGCACAGTGGTAGGTGCAGACATCTACATACATGTGCAGCCACATGCACATTAACAAATAGACACCCATGGGCTTGTGGATGCAAATGCACACACCTACAATATGTCAAGCCATGTAGACACACAATCCCACACGTCCTTGCACACGTGCTAACACACATGTATACAAAATATGTACCTGCTCCTCGAATGCTCACAGCTTCAGTCTGGAAGAACCAGGAGAGGAAAAGCCCCCGCTTTATGTCATGAGACTTAAATAACCCTGGAGTGGCCCATCAAGATCTCTGAAGGTGGCTCCAGAAGCCAGGTTCCAGGAGAGGTGCCGTCATTTCTGCATGATCAGTACTGGGGACACGTTCCTCTGAGTGTTCACAAAGTGAAGAGGGTTGGGAGCCTAGGTCACCCAGGAATGGGACAGAGGCAGGATGGAGCCAGGGCTCTGGGATTCAGGACACCACCTGGCTGAGGAACTGGACGTTGGTCACTATGCCCCCTTTCTGGGCCTCAGTTTGCTCACCATGAAATGGACTCACAACATCATTTCCTCTACAGGGTGTGGTGAGGATGGAGGAGAAGTGACTCAGCCTGTGTTAGGAAGTCTAGGGCCTGGGTTCCATTCCCATTTTCTCTCTCTCTCTCTCTCTCTCTCTCTCTCACACACACACACACACACACACACACACACACACACAGGCGTGCGCGCGCGCACCACAGCTTCCACGGAGGGTGACAAGAGGAGAGAGAGGGTCTGACTCACACCAAGTTCACCGCCACTCCTGTGAGCTCATTTTAACTCTCCAAGTGCTTTCTGGGCCCAGGGCTCTGGAAGGAGACATTCCACCCCACCCCACCCCCGCATGCGCCCTGCAGGTGGACAGCGTTGATGCTGGGTGCCCGGCGTCAGGGAGGCAGTTCCTGAGAAAGGCTGGGTGGGGAAGGGGAGCAGCTGGGAAAGGGTGATTTTCCTTCAGCATCCACAACCATTTTCTCAAAGTGTGATCACAGGTGAGTGCTTGCTACAAATCGCAGCCCCAGTTCCCACCACTTATGGTGGAATTGCCCTCTGGAATGGAGGCCAAGGGGCTTCACATTTAGCTCCACAAAAGATTCTGGCACCTCCCTTACCAGACCACACTTAACATGATGCTGCCTGTCTCCAAACCCACCGACCAGTGTCTCATCTAATCCTCCCAACATCCCTTCAAGATTAGCATTTTCTTCCCACTTTGGAGATGAGGAGACTGAGGCCCGAGAGGTGAAGTGAGCTGACCAAGGTCACACAGCCTGGTCAGGTTTTGAATCAAGTACTTTTGCCATAAGAGCCCACATTGTCCCTGGGCCCAGGACACAGACCAGTGTAACTACATGAATGAATGAATGAATGAATGAATGAATGAATGAATGAATGAATGAAATTCATCTGCTATAAAAAGGGATTCTTTAAAAAAGGGCTTACTGAATACTAATTCTTACCGATATCAACCTCGCTGGCTTTTGTTAAAACCCTCTCCCAGGCTAAACAAAGCTAGCCAGAAGAGCAGAGGGCATCGTGAACATTGCCAAGGTCAGCAGACACAGGACGTCTGGTTTCTCCATGTTCGCCCTCCTCCCTTTCCTCCTCCATTAATGTATCTGCTCATCTCCTTCTATCTTCATTGCCTGTATTTATTATCTCTTAAAAATAAAAGATTTCTGAGAGGAAAAAAAACATCCCAGGGCAGACAGGTAAAGAGGCAAGCCCGGCTCTCCTGCCAGTGCCCTCCAGCACTGGAAAAAAGGGGGACCTCGCCTGTCCCCTTGCTGCCCCTCAGCTATAATTCTGGCCAACACTGGCCAGTTAAGCCACACGTACTCCAGGTCCCATCATGCATGCTCTCCTCCTGTGCCTGTCCCTGTCCTCCTGTCCCAAAATATACACCCTGAAGAGCATGAGGGCAGACCCACTGTGCTTAGGACTAATATTTAACATGCAGAATGGCTGTGGAGGGCGCCTGCTCCCAAGCCTTTTCGTGCAGTAAAAAGATATAAACAGAATAAATTACCTCTCCAGCTTGGATTATGAGAATACCCATCTCCTGACCGGAATTTTAAGTCCTGCCTCCCTCGTCGCGCTGCACACGGCTGATTTATGGAAACTCGAGCATCTCTCTGCATATTTCTTCTGTTCAGCCAAGTGACCAAGTTTACCCTTCCTATGCCATTAGCGTTATTAACACCTGGGTAACCGATCATTGCAAATGGGCCATTTCTGTGATGAACGGAAACCTCTCCAGCCGCTTCTCCAGGGCAGCACCACCTCTGGCCTCCCCTTTCTGAATTTTGTGCCAGAGCTCAGAACCATCCTCACCTGCCCCTGCCCCCAGCACCTGCTGATGGGTTCCAAGGGGGTTGGGGAGGAAACGTCTCATGAGCAGGTGCTTTTGGCTTTCTGGCAAGCACACAGGAAGTGACACTACTG